AAACAAATACTCTCTTAAGATTCTGCATGGCTTTGGGGCACCTAGGTGTCTCAGTCAGTTAAGCGTCTGACTTTGGCTCAGATCATGATCTCATGGTTCATGGATTCAAGCCCCACATTGGGCTCTGTGCTGACAACTCAGAGCCTGGAGCCTGCTTCAGAGTCTGTCTCTCTCTTGCACATGCACTCTCAAAAGTAAATAAGAAACATTTAAAAAAAAAAAAAAGATTCTGCAAAGCTGTAAGAGTTATGACTTTATAACATATAAAGTATTTTTAAGTATTAAGTGATAATAGTACAAAACAACACAAAATCAAATAATCATTCACTTTTTGGTAGTTAAGCCAAGCATTAAAACCAGTAGTAATATTACTTGCTCTTTATGCCCCTGAGTCATAAATGACATATGCATGATGTATTTTCCCATAAACTATTTTCTAATACAGTAGTCAAGGGTCATAAATCAGGAGAAGATTGATATTACTTCCATTTGAATAAATATGCTTTAGAAGTAATGAGTAAAGTTATGTATACTACAGTGACACGTTGTGTTGTATTAAAATTATACCATTTCAAGTGGTTGGTTTTATTCCTTTTACTCTATTTTTTAAAATATAATTCTACAATAGCTACATTTCAGTTGAGACCTGCATTATTTATATAAGCTAAAACTCTACTCTTGTTAGTGTGAATTTAATGTCACATAAAAACCATTCTTTAAGTTTATTTTTCACTATATATTATTCAATTATAGGAATGAAAGCTATCAAATGATTTCTCATATAATTTATTTTTTCCACTGTTACTATAAAATGTTTTAGAGACATTTATGTTAAACTCAAATTTAAAGGTTTTAACTTTAGTTCCTTATTATTTCAATAGAACGAACAATGCTTTCTGTTAGGTAAAATTTCAGTATAACTGCAATAATTTAAAAGTGTAAATATCGGGGCGCCTGGGTGGCTCAGTTGGTTGAGCGTCCGACTTCGGTTCAGGTCATGATCTTGCGGTTTGTGAGTTCAAGCCCCACATCAGGCTCTGTGCTGATGGCTCAGAGCCTGGAGCCTGTTTCAGATTCTGTGTCTCCCTCTCTCTGACCCTCCGCCGTTCATGCTCTGTCTCTCTCTGTCTCAAAAATAAATAAACGTTTAAAAAAATAAATAAATAAAAATAAATAAAAGTGTAAATGTCTAACTTATAGGATATTTTTAGTATTTGTGAAGAACTGTGGTTCTGTCTTATTATTTTTAATACTTCCAATTAACAGCATATGAAGCTAAAAATGTATTGCAGAGTAAAAATTATTGTAAATCTATTTCTAAAGCTAGATTGAAATTGCTTTTAATTATATAAGTGTATTTAAATATATATGTAGATTTACACACATATATGAAGGAAATGTTTATGAATTATTAAGAAACTGAAACGCAAATATTTCCACTAGAACCCCTTTCAGGTTATTTGCTAAGCAAAAAAAAAAAAAAAATTAAGTTTATTTATTTATATTTTTGAGACAGAGCACAGGGAAGGGGCAGAGAGAAAGGGAGACAGAGAATCTCAAACTCATGAATAGTGAGATCATGACCTGAGCCAAAATCAAAGAGTCAAATGCTTAACCGACTGAGACACCCAGGCACCCCGTTCAGCAAAATATTTTAACATATAAATCAAAGACAAACTTCAACCCTACTAATATCTAAATTAATGAAATTTCATAATGACTACTTAGTTATATAAATGTGCTTAACATTTTCAAGATTATGCTATGAAGCTGATAATAACAACTCCATAACAAAGAGCTAAACAGAACTCATCCCCTGAATTGTTTGACATACTTATCTCTTCTACTTACCCTCATAAGAACACTATTAAAAGAATAAGATCAAGCAGATGCTGTGATGAAAAAGACAGATGCTGTAGAGTCAAGAACTCATGTGTTTTCTACTATTGACTAGATATGTAATTATAATATTTTTTAATTCTCTAAGTCTTAAAGGGAAAATACAGGCAAATACACAAAAGGAGTAGTGAAGCTAACATTCAGTGTGGTAATATATATAAAACATCTGGCATAACATGTGGAACAGAGTAAGAACTCAGGAAATGCTATTTCCCAGATATCCACCACTCTTTAAGCCTCCTTTCTTTATACTCCCATTATCATCTCCTGATAAATATAAATAGGTGTAAGAGAGTGGATCACATTCATTATGTAGATGAAAAGAGAGTCAAAGATTTGAGTCACGAAAACAACAAAAATCAAAGAATCTCACAATTTCTAGATTAAGACAACCCCTTAAAGATTGTCTCTTTCAACAACGTAGACATGCTAATGAGAGGGTCAGCCATCTTATGGTCTTTCTCTATACCTACTAAATTTTAAAACAGGAGTCATTTACAATGTGTGTATTTACAAAACCATAAAAAAATAGAACCACTTGGTTATCTGTAAACAAATGAAGAGATTATTCCCAAAGACAGAAAAGCAAAATATAATTCTTTTTTGAATTTTATATGGGTAATGTTTGATACATTTTGTTTTTACAACCCAAATAGAATCTTCTATTAACACAATACTAAAATTTTCCAGACATATTAAAGGAATGCCCAGAATAACTCAAATTTTCCTGTTCTCATCTTTAAAAAGCTCATTGATTCTAATATAATATTTAATACCAAGTTGTAATAAGAGCTATAGTATAAGTGGGAGAGGTAGGCCCCTAATATTCTAAGGTGTATAATAAAATAGATTATGTTACCATTCACTGAAATAAGGAATATAAGAGTGAACTAGGTTGAATTGGGTTGGGCTGTATTGAAATTTTTTTTATATATGAATTTTTGTTTTGTTTTGTCTTGTTTTGTTTTAGAGAGAGAGAAAGAGCACAAGTTGGGAGGAGGCAGAAGGAGAAAAACATAGAGATAGAGATAGAGAGAGAGAGAGAGAGAGAGAGAGAGAGAGAGAGGATCTCAAGCAGGCTCCATGCTCAACACGGAGCCAGACATGGGGCTCAATCCCACCACCCGAGGATCATGACCTGAGCCGAAATCAAGAATCAGACACTCAACTGACTGAGCCCCCCAGGCATCTCTGTGTTGAGACTGTTAATTCAACCTTAGACATGGGAAATTTACTTCTAAGACATCCAAGGAGTTATGTCAAGTAGGCAATTGACTACATGGACATTGAGTTCAGAGGAAAAATCTGAGCAAGAGTAATAAATGTGGGTCATCATCAGGAAACCATCTAGGGAGTGAATGTAGCCTAAGGCCATTCGTTGAGTAACTCCAAAATAGACTGGCTTAGTGAAGGAGAATGAGTTTATAAAGGAGTAGCCACAAAGAGAAGCAAAAGATCTGGTCCAAAACACCAACAGAAAAAAAAAAAACAAAAAACATGTAGTCAACAAAGTCAGATACTGAGAGAATGTCAAGTAAGATACTTGTTAAATTTAGCAATGTAGAAGTCATTGGAGATCTTACAGATACCTATTTCAGTGGTGACGAGGAATAAGCTAGATATATATGGGTTGAGAACTAAGTAGGAATTAAAGAAATGAGTGAATATAATCACTCTGAGAACAAGTATGACTAAGAAAACAATAGGCAAAGGCAGTTGGGGGAAAATATAGAAGGGTTATCTGGGGTGGGCAGAGATGTAGAAATTGTTTTAAGAATCAACACTTAAGAATATTTAACAAATGAGCACTGGGGCACCTGGGCGGCTCAGTCAGTTAAGTGTCCGACTCTTGGTTTCGGCTCAGGTCATGGTTTGTGGGGTTCAAGTGCTAACAGCACAGAGCCTACCTGGGATTCTTTCTTTCCCCCTCTCTCTGCCCCTCCCCATACATGCACACACATGCACTCTCTCTCTAAATAAACAAAAATAAAAAAAAATAAACAAAAATCGGATCCAATTGAGAAGAAAAGGTAAACCTAATATAAAAAATGATGAAAAATTTCTGAGAAAGTATGAGAAGACATGATACAAAAAGAGGCACAAGAAATAGACTTGAGAAAAGGAACAGTTCCTCTATGGAAGTAAGCACAGAGAATGGGTACAAACGCAGCAGATATGGATATGTAGTCACAGAAAAGAAGGGAGTTGCCACCTGATGATTCTAATTTTTTTCTGTAATGTAGAAGATATCCAACTGCTGACAATGATGGGTGGAGATAAGAGGATCAGAGACTTGAAAGAAGTGGAGAATATTTTAGAAGTTATGTAGAAAGTGCAACTATAGACCAGAGAAATTCGACACATCATAATTTCCTTGAGAATCTTGATAAACCAACCCAGTTATGAGAGTATGATAGCAAGAAATGTATATACTCTAGTCAGGAGTAGAGAGTAGAGACACCATACCAGTAACACCTGTTGGAGATGCAAGCAATAACCAAAGCCAGATTATAAATTTTAAGTTATAGATCAAAATTTAAACTTTAAAATGGTAGAAAACGTAATTATTGAAATCATTGAAAACAACAGTATCCACAGACAAGTAAAGTAAGAGGATCCAGGAGGATATTTACAGATCCAGAAATCAGCAAGAAACAACAACAGTAAGACAAAACAGCATAGCAAGTCTCAGAAGGATTTTTATAAGTGAAGCAGATTGCTGTTTTCTAATAAGTTTGTTTCCTTCTAACAGAGGGGAAGCCAATTTCTAGAGAACATTGACCTGCCTCTTTCTGAACCAGGAATTCACAGTGAATCTGGTGGACACTGATGAGAGGAATAAAGACAACTTTTAACAGGATTTTTCAGAAAATAGTTCAAATTGGTAAAATATTGAGATATTTGATCAGGACACTACATTGACAAAACCCAGAATCATTTTTCCAGAGTCCTATAAAGTAACTCAGTTATACAAAGTTTTGTATTTAAAATGAAATGTCAGCTTCTAGAAATTTTATGTTCATAATACCATGTAACTGAAGCGTTCTGTAAAATTACATCAGTTAAGTTTTCTTCCTTCAAATTATTTTTGTTTTACGTACTCAGACTTCTTTTCGTAGGTCTTAGAAGATTCTTCAATTCTCTTCTCTAGCTCCAGGACAGCCTCTTCCTTGTTTAAAAGCATCTGCTGTGTCTGCATAAGTTCTTCTGCTAAGGTTTTCAACCTAGAATGATCAGTTTCCTCATTATTAGTCAATACATTATACTCACTTTATACAAACACACTAAACATTCATACATCTAAGGTGGTGATGTCCAAAGCAGTAGCCACATGTAATTTAATGTAAAGTAAATTAGAGTAAAATTTCAGTTTCTTGGTTGCATTAATCATATTTCAAGTGCTAAACAGACACATGTGGCTAGTGGCAGGCAACCTTACTGGACAGTGAAGAAAAGACTATTTCAGTAATCACAAGTAGTACTCTTGGACAGTCTGAGAGTCTTAGTCATTAATAAAAAAGGGAAACAGAAATAGAAAATTTAAAAAGAAGAAAGGATTGGGGCACCTGGTGACTCAGTCGGTTAAGCGTCCGACCTCAGTTCAGGTCATGATCTCACGGTTCGGGAGTTTGAGCCCTGCATTGGGCTCCCTGCTGTCAGAGCAGAGCCCGCTTTGGATCCTCTGTCCCCCACTCTCTGTACCCCTCCCTAGCTCATGCTCTCTCAAAAATGAATAAACATTAAAAATAATAATAAATAATAAAAAGAAAAAAAGGATTTAAGTAAATAAATATCGATAATGTTTCAGGAAGAGTGTAGTGAAAAGACCATGGTTTTTATTTTCAGACAAACATTTATTTACATTCTGGCTGTGCCACTTTTTAGAGATGCTGAGCAAGTTGCATGAGCTCATTAAATCTATTTTCTCACTTGTAATCTGAGGGCAGGAATACCTGCTTCAAAGCATTGTTTTGAGGATCAAATACAGTAATGTATATGTAATGACTGGTACTTAGTAGGCACTGAGTATATGGTATCCAGGATTTCTTGCATGTATTCTCTCATTTACTTCTCACAACAACCAATCAGATAGTATTATCCTTATTTTAAAGAAGAGACAGTGAGGTTTAGCTGAATGGCAATTTAAGTGGATAGTAAGAGATTTCTCTTTTCATACACTATATTAATGCTTTAGGGATACTTTCCATATAGATATTAACACAACTAAATAAACAAAATTAATATGAACTTTAGCCCAGATCATTTTTGGGTGCATAAAATGCATTTGGTCCTGAATAGAAATATTTCCACCAAAAAAAACACAGAAAGCTATTGTATCACATTAAAATCTTTATCTTCAGCCTTTTATAGCAAAACATGAAATCCAAAATATACAAAAGAAAATATTAAATAATCCAACTCCACGAAAATGTAAATATGTTGGAAGTTAAAGAGATGATAAAGAAAGTCAAAAGCAAAAGTCAAACTGGGAAGAAATAATTTGCAGTGCAAATTACAAGCAAAAGCCCTCTTAGAAAAAAGGACAACCTAATATGAAAATGGACAAAGAACGAAACTGGAAATACAGGGCTGACTCCTTTCCTTGTAACAGCTGTATCATCAAGTTAATCACTTCACCTTCCCACCTCAGAATAAGAGAAGTATTTGTGTTGACCACTTTATGTCTCTACTGCAGTTTGTAAAGCACCTTATTCTTGTGTGACAAACAACAGCTCTAGAACCAGACACCCTCACTTTCAATATTCACTCAGCTTTTCTAAACTTCCATTTCCTCCGTTAATAAGATAGGAATCAATTTAACACCTAACTTAAAGAGTTCTTGTGATTCTGTGCATATTTTTAAGTTACTATTACAGAGTTTGAAGCATAACATGTTCTCTATACGTGTAATCTTACATTATTAACCAATTTTATTAGTTTCATTAAAAAAAACCATTTTTCTCAGAAGTAACTTTAAGTTTTGCCTTCCACCTTTAAGAATATTTTGTTAACAGTGGGTGCAAAACAATAATGTTCCTCCCAAGGCAGAGGTAGAATTGAATATATTATAAATAAAACTCAAGAACAGGTTACATTTTTTATTATTTATGCATTATTACCAATTAAGGGCAAGTAAAATAATGGAATACTGCAAGCACACTACATAAAAAATAGAGAAGCCACGCATAATTAAAAGTTTTTCCCTTCAAAACAATGTTATTTCCAACAATGTTAGTTTTTCAGAAATGTGAAAATTTTCAGTTCCATAAGAAATTAATATAAGCTTGTATTTTTTTTATCATCCTTGGTACAAGAGTAAGTATGTGCATAGGCATACACATAAATATGTACATACATGTTGATTTGATGTGATTTAACAGTAGTAATATCACTACATATCAAAAAGGAAGCAAAAAATGAGAAATTCTATTATTGATTCCTTCATATTTTATCATTTGGACAAGGGAAGACATTTGATTGTGGTGAATATCAGTTTCCCTAGCACTGCCCTCTTTTTACTTTCTATTTTTACTCTGAAACAGGCTAGGAAAGGAGGAAAGAGGTGAAAGCCAGAGTCAATCAGCAAGTTTAAACTACCTTAGACCCCATTCATCATTGGTACCTCTAGCAAGGTACATATATTAAAATCCAAATCTGCTAAGATTTGCTACTTCCTTTAGCAATCATTTTAGCCTCCTGAAAAACATCACCTAATGTTTCAAAGAGAAATTAAATTTGAGGTTTTATATAGGCTAAATTTTTTTAGTACATGTCAGCTCATTTGTGAGAAGAATGGGTTGGTACTTTTGATTTCCCTTCTCCTCAAATTCCTGGTCTGTGCTATAACAATTTTAAACCAGAAAGAAAGAAACCTACCACAGCTTACTAGATTCCCTAAAGAGCTGGAAATGCACTAGAAACTCAAAGGCCTAGAAGAACTAACAACACTTCTGATCCCTGGCAGGTCTGTTCTGTCAGCTAGAATTTACCACCTACTACATTTAGCAATGAAGGCCAGAAGACCCAAGGAAGAAGGAAAGGAGATAAGAGTAAAGAAATGAGGACAGCAGAGGGAAGAGAATAATAATATTAGCCGTTTCTACCTTTTCTAGCTCCTGATCATGTCAAGAAATTGGTACCTCTTCTCGAGGCTTTAATTTTTTGACTGCCTTAGCATAACTGACCTTTATGAAAAGTATTTCTAAATTAAAAACAAAACAAAACAAAACAAAACTGAGTAAGGTAAGTCTTTGAAGTCAAAACTTCTTAACATTTCTACATATCTAAAGATTCATAGTTGTAAATTCAAAGTGGAAAAGACAAATGATCTTAGAAGAATGGAATTATATGGGGAAACCATTTTCCCTTCTTTACAACCATCCTCCTAAAAAAAACATGGAGTGAAAATCCAGTGAAGAGGAAAACACTCTAGTAATTATACTTTATGAACCGATATCATAATACCTGTTAGGATAGTTTGCAAAGCACTCTTTACCATGATGTCATTGTTATATACGTTTGTATACAAATGCACTAGTAACAGTCCAAATGGCTTATTCTTTACATCTTTAGAGTAAATGTGTTATACTTAAACAACATGACTCAAAACATTTAAATGTCATGACACTGCCTTAAAAAAAAATTCACAAAACTGACATAATACTTAACATTTACTAAATGCCTAATAGTTTCAAGCACTTTATAAGTACTTAAATCCATAACATTTTATAACATCATTATTATCGCCATTTACATATAAGAGACTGAGCCACAGAGATTAAGGATCTTGTCCCAGGTGAAAGAGCTGGTAAGTGGAAAAACATGTCAGAGTCCAGGCAGCTTAGATCCTGAGTGTATGGACTTAACAACTAATATCCTCTGTATTAGTAATTTCACCTCATAAAATTTAGTTAATGTCTATAGTTCAACAAGTACACAAAGATATAAAAACAAAGATATTTGTTGAAGCACTGCTTATAATCACAATAACGAAAGGTGAACTCTCTGTGATGCTAATAACACTTAACCTACAGGCAGCACACTTGCAAGATCTCTTCCCAGAGTCTGCACTTGCTTTTACACTTGTAAGTCACTAGAGTTTTAAGATGTCACACACACACATACACACCCACCCCAATTTTGTAAGTTTCAGCCTACCAAAATCTGTATCCACCCCTTAGCCAAAAGAAAAAATTAGAAATAAATACCCATCTATAAATAACTACATTAAATAAACCTTATAACATGTAAGCATTAAAACACTGTGCACTATTAATATTTCCTATAGGGGCGCCTGGGTGGCGCAGTCGGTTAAGCGTCCGACTTCAGCCAGGTCACGATCTCGCGGTCCGTGGGTTCGAGCCCCGCGTCGGGCTCTGGGCTGATGGCTCAGAGCCTGGAGCCTGTTTCCAATTCTGTGTCTCTCTCTCTCTCTCTGCCCCTCCCCCGTTCATGCTCTGTCTCTCTCTGTCCCAAAAATAAATAAATGTTGGAAAAAAAATATTTCGTATATATTTTAAAAAGAGGGTAATGCAAAAAAGTATGCATAGAATGAGCCCACTTAAGTCAAGAAAATTTATATACATGTGTATGTCTGTCTCTACAGTCTGGAAAAATACATGACTTTTTTAACCAATTAGCACCAGAAGGTAGAAATGTATCTTTAAAAAGAACTTTGGGTCGCCTGGGTGGCTCAGTCAGTTAGACATCCGACTTCAGCTCAAGTCATGATCTCAGGGTCCATGAGTTAGAGCCCCGCATGGGGTCTGGGCTGACAGCTCAGAACCTGGAGCCTGCTTCAGATTCTGTCTCCCTCTCTTTCTGTTCCTCCCCCACTCGCGCATTGGTGCGCACTCTCTCTCTCTCTCTCTCTCTCTCTCTCAAATAAATATCAAAAAAAAATGTTTTAAGGAGAGCTTCAATTTTCACTGTACATCCTTTTTGTAAGATTTTATGGATTTTATCATCTGCAAGCATTAGTTAGATAATTTTTAAAGATTTAATGTATTTAACAAAACAAAAGCGAAAAACACTGTAGACAATAACAAATTTTCGGTACTTCTACAATAACTTTTCTATCTTCAAACCATTGGCCATCATTGTCTAAATTTTATAGCACTCTTAGAGAGACCTAACTTCCTAAAAAAGTATAAATTATAAATTTCCAACGCTGTCACATTCATTGTGACATTTGGGTTAATTAAAAAAAATAATTGGAAAAGGG